TCCCCAAATGAAATAATTACATGGGTTTAGGTCCGGGGATCGAGGTGGCCATTTTAAAGGGGCATTATTTCCTCTACCTATCCACCTGTTAGACCTTTAATAACCTGTAATACCTACCTGTACCCTGTAATACCTGTAACCTGTAATAACTGCTTTTAATACTCTATTAAAAGAACTTTTTGAAAGCCAACCTCTGCCGCTAAACGCCTTTTATTTACTTGAGGAATTTCTTCTACCCTTCCCGAAATTTGTTCCTCCAGCTGAATAATTCCGGCCGTACATTATTCACGATTTAATGTTACAGGTAAAAAACGTCCTGTTTCCCGAAGGCGTCTCTCCGTATTAGCAAATGTTTTGTGATTTGGAGTTCTTCGATTAGGAAATCTTTCAGGATATGTTCGAACAGTAGCACAACAATTTCCTTCACAATAACCCAAAACTACTAACATATCAGTTTGTTCAGCAAAAATATAAATTGCAATAAAAAACAAAGTAAGCTAAAATTAAATCACAGCTAGCTTGACCTTCTAATTATTGTTATGAATTTGTTTCTCTGTTATATGGCACCTCGTACTAGAATGTTCTATTTATTTTTTTTTATTTTAACTGATTTTATATTATTTCATATGTAAAAAATACCAATTTTACTCGAAATCCATAAACGATATCAAAATTTTGTAAGAGGCAAAAAATCTTCTAGAATAGTGCTTATTTTTAAAAATATTAATTCTGTCGTCATTGACGTACACACAAAAAAATTACGGGATAGCCAGTGGCGCACAGGCACTAGAAAGTGAACATCCTGTATATGTAATATCACCAAATTCTATATTTGCATTGCCCTTATATAAAAAAATATGTGTACCGAATTTGAAGTTTCTAAGAAAAACAGTTAATAGGTTATCTGTTCTATATTTAGAAGACTATATCTCAGTAGGCTTGCACTTTTGTAAGTTAGGCTAAATAGTCTTGTTTTCATCCAAGCAACCTGTGGTCAAGCGTTGTCCATCCTTTTCAGGGACATCCTGTATAGTAACAGTTTCTATTTACCCCGTGTTCTCAGTTTGAAGACTGAGAATAAATATATTTTCACTAACGCCCAAAGCTGAAGAACAGACAATCATGTCCTCACAATCAATGCACCAAATATTCTAATTACGTACCTAACCTAACATACAATATAAAATATGTGACAATATGGGCTTGTATTACTTTCTCAAAGTACCATATACGTTTTAACACTTCTGTACCTAACAAGACCGTATGCTTTTATATATGATTAGTTTGTCCTTGCGGTCTGCGAATATTATGAATGAAATAGTTCATTTTTACTATTAACGTATTATGTACAGCGACATCTACAGAAATATTGTTGCAATAATTTCTTTTATTCCAATTTCTATTTTTAACCGATAGGGTAATAAAAAAATTAATGAAATTAGATAATTCTTAATAAATATTTTAATGAACGTAACAATATAATTTCAGTAACTCTAGGCCTTTACTTTTTCTCCTTATTTTGGACCATTCAACATCACAAACAAGTGACCCAATTCATCAAAAGTGTACGTCCTTTTCAGAAATGTATCCAGTAGTTTAACTCCGGATATTGTTCTCAATCCGGGGATCAATGGGATGCATTTAAACTCTAATATTTTGTGTGAAAGGGGCAGAAGAGGTTCCAATTTGCGTCCCGATATATCGCACCAAGCCAAACCCTCCACATTTTCCAAATACACCACTAAATCAACCGTTCTTTCGCTAGAAATAAAAAACTATATAGTTATGTACAGATACAGGGTGGAAAATAAAAATTAATGTTTTCAAATTCCAATTGTAATGAAGATTTACAGTGTACTTAAATTACTACTACTACTACTACTACTACTATTTTGACTGTCATTAATAATTAGTTAAAGAACAAAATCTTATCCTCACTGGGCTCTTGGGAACTATTAGATGCGCAGAAAAGCTTAAATGGGCAAAGTAGTATACAATTTAGTTATTAACACACCAAGAAAACAATTTAATTCCTATTTTTTTGGATTTTTATTAGAAAAAATTTAAAACATCATTTGCAGCCCAATTGAACAAATTAGTGAACCTTTCTTTTTAAATAAAATTCAATATGATTCTCATCTGGAAAAAATTAGTTATTTTTTCAAAAATGTGAAATGTTTTTCTCGGTGGGATTACAATACCCAGTTACAGGTTAAAGCTATTCTCATAAAAATATCCCTCAACTTGGGTCTTTTGGCGCAAAATTTCATAATTTTCTTATGCAGGTGGCAAAATACCCAAATAAATAAAGAACTAACATATCTAACATTATCGCCACGGTAGCGCAGTTGGTCGAGAGTGNTTTTCAATCTCACGGCTTTGTTATTGCAAATTTCGTAATCGGACCACCGCCATTTTGTAGCTATTTTTATTACGAACAAAATCAGGTCCTAAGCATTTTTTCGTACAAAGTCATCTGTGAGTTATTTAAAGAAAACTACTAAAAAAAATTTTTTTCACTATTAAATTGTTAATAACTTTTTTTTCTGATACAATACTTTGTCAGCAAATTAGCCTGTTATTGTACTCATCATTTGGTGTGTAGTTATTTCCGGGTTATCAAGGTTTGACACAAGCCGAACCTCTACCAACTGGACTATACCGTGAGCGGCAAAAGTATGGAATATATTTATTTAAAAATCAGATGTTCGTTATTTGAAAAATCGCTCATACCCGTCGAATTATATTTTTAGTTGCGCATTTTCTGAAGCAATTTTCATTTATACAGGGTGGCCCAAAAGAGTTATAAAATCAAGACGAACTTTTTTAAATGGAAATCCCACCTTTTTTGTGTTTTTAATCAGTTCTCCATGGAATTCTGATCATTTTTTATGTAACATAACCTAACCTATCTTTAACCGTTTTTGAGATAATGGCGTCTGAAAATTACTCTACATACGTAAGGACTGTAACGTCAAAGTCAGTGGGAACTGGTGTATTTTCTGCTAAATACATTTTGTGTTTTTCAAATATTTAAACACAATTAAGCAATATGTTTGTTCCTCACAAAAAACCATGAAACGGTGCTAAAAATTTGCAAAATAACCTGGCTTGTAATTTATATAGTGACATTTAACAGAATCATATTTTATACAATAAAAGTATGCGTTTTTATAATTAAATTATACCTAAATAACTCACTTATATTTTTTTACATTCAAGTCATTGCGTCCTAATAATCAAACATAAATCACTGAACCACTTATTTGTTATGGATTTTTCTGATTTGAAGCAACTTTCTGTGAATCACACAAATCTAAGATGGAAAAGTAAACCTGGTTTTATTTTAAAACCAGCAGGGTAAATCTCAGGGTAATTTTTTGAAAATTTTCCATATTCTATATACCGACGCCAATATCTCGAAAACGATTAAAGATATGTATAAGTTGTTACATAAAAAATGATCAGAATTCCATGGAGAATTGAATAAAAATAAAAAAAAGTGGGATTTCTATTTAAAAAAGTTGGCCTTGATTTAATTTAGAAAAAACATTATCTGTTATGGAAACATAATATTGAAGAGTACTCACCAGTTATTAACCAGTTTACATTTAAAGGTAAAGATTTCCTCCAAAGCCACAAAGTTCGGTAACTCAATCACAGACATCCTAATATCTCCATAGTCTGGACCCTAAAAAAAAATTAAATTCTCAAAATGTAGGTACATATTGTTAATGGATACATAATTTTAACCAAAAAATGTTTGTTTTCTAGAATTTCACTCACCATCCTCTGAAGTTGGCTAGTCTGCAAACGACCCCTTTCGCCTAAATTCGAGCGCCAAACTATATCAAGTTTTCCTATATTCGTTGCTCCGCTAAGCGACTTTAAATCTGCGGATAATTTTTCATTTGGTGATAAACAATACAGAAACTGACAAATACCTTGTGGTTGAAGAACAGTTGTTTTGCCAAATATGCTCTCCTCCTTTGAAACCATGTTTAGAGAAGTTACTAAAAATCTCAAGTTAATTAGAAATTTAATTAAATAAATCATTTACCATTAAATAAATGGGATGCGTCCAGTGCCACTTTCTCTAAGCAAATCGGGCCAGCCGTGATATTTTGAACCTGCGCTTCGAGATAAACGTCATCATTTTCAGCATTATAGAATTTTGTCTTTACATCTAGAGGCTTTAAAACCATAATTTTGAAGAACTTTCGGAATGACATTGGGACTCCATTTGCCGTTTGATAACCTACCTCGCACACTAATCTACAATAATAAAATCAACCATTTATGTACGTCTAGTACCAAACTTACATATGCGTTCCTATTTCCTTGACCTCGTGATGGATAATCACACCAACAGTTTCATTGGGCGTTAGGAGAGGACTTGGGGGATTTACAGAAAGCGGCAGTCTTTGTGAACTAGTCTGTAAATCAATCTGAAAAGAAGTAGGTAATATTTAAAGTCGATACTAAAATAATTGTTCAATAACTGAAACATCACTCACCTTGACAGTAACATTGTTTACATCTTGTTTAGTTTCACTGTAGACACACACGTAACTGGAAAACGTTTCACCAAGATAAATATTTACAGGATTTTGTGGGAGAAGTAAAAACTGACCAGCACACAAAGTTTCAGTACCCTCAACTGCCGTAGGATCCTGTTGCAAAGCATTATTTAGTAAATTTCCTGGTAAGTCCCTGCTGTCACAGGTAATAGGCAGTGGACTTGCTAAAGAAGGTTTTGTTAATCTCATAACTAAAACAGTAGGTTCTATAACATGTTAATATTTTCTTTTTTATCTCACCCTTCAATGCAAGTAAATGCTCTTCAGAATCCATTTTCAAATTTATGTTTACATTAACTCTTTATTAATAAAAATCACAAATCACAGTGGTTAACGATTTATATGTTTTGTGGTAAAAACTATACTCATATGTAAGTAAGTAAACATTACAGTTAGGTTACGTATGACTTAACCTTATCGATTTGACATCGTTATAATATTTTTTCTGTTTTGTGGTACACTACAACCCATGGAGATTCGGAGATGTAGTCTACAAGAGGGCCTTTCGATTTGGTAAAAACAGTAGCTATCAGCAGCTAATGGCAACTTAGAGTTACTCTGAACTGATATTAGTTGCTAATAGGTACTACTTTTGCCAAAACGAAAGCCCCCAAGGTTTTTTTTGAGAGTGAAGTCATAATTACCGTTTTCCATTCACGTCAGGAACAGTTCTGAGTAACTCAAATTGTTGTAACTGGATGTTCCTTTCATTTGAGCGCCAAGCCCTAGAGCTCGTGATTTTGTCTTCCCCTTTCCCCTNTGTCTATGCCAAACTGTAAGTTTACTTCTTTTATTAATACTTAGTAATATTGGGTTAGGTATATAAATGTCATTATTCTGTCAGTTTAAGTGTTTCCTATTCTCGACATTATTTACCGTTTTCCATTCACGACAGGAACAGTTCTGAGTAACTCAAATTGTTGTAACTGGATGTTCCTTTCATTTGAGCGCCAAGCCCTAGAGCTCGTGATTTTGTCTTCCCCTTTCCCCTCGAGCGCCAGTTATTGTACTGGTGCAATAAGCACTTTTATCGGTTTTTGAGGTTATGTTGTTGTTTTGAATTTTGATTGTTGTCTATTTTGTACGATCGTCGAAGAAGGTACAGCAGGTGTGGCCTGAGTTTATAATTACAACTACAACTACCTACCTCCTGAAATGGCTCAAATGAGTGAAACGTATATAATAATGGAAGATCCAGAGAATGGACAAGTTTACAAATTGTTTGTAAATCAAGAGGATTATAACAGATTTCAAACAGGTTTGTTTAAATCATACCCCATTTAGATTTTTATTAGTGTTATACTTTCCACTATTTTCTAGATGAACAATATGCAAATTCTTTGCTTTTCCATGCGAGGTGTACGAGCAATAATGATTATACATCTGAGAATAATGACACACAATCACAGTTAGATGAAGTTCAAAATCAAAGCGAAACTTGCACTGGTAGCAGCGATAATACTAAACAAATTACTTCTTGGTCTTATAATCAAACGATAGATCTCATCGCTTCTATGGGTAAGTTTGGAAATTGTGAAATTCTATAACTAAATTGTAACTATAAAATGATGTTACTTTTAGGCAGTCACTATGAAGACTTCAACCACCCTAGAAAACGAAAACACATTTATGAACTGGTTTGCAATGACTTAATTAGTTTGAGTTATAATCTTACTGCCATAGCTGTACAGAACAAATGGAAAAGTCTAGTTCGCAGTTACACAAAAGCCAAAGACAGCAAAACTAGAACTGGACAAGGACCTTCACGATTTCATTTCTTTGATCAGTTGGATGAAATATTGGGAAATAAGCCTACTAATGCATGTTCACATTCTCTAAACAGCATTGAAAATTCAGATCCAGAAAATAACAGTTCTGTGTATGATAGTTCTTCTGAAAATGTGAACGAAATACCTGTTAGCCACACATCACAAAAAACACGTCTTACGGATAAAAAGTTACAACAAGAATATTTGCAGATGAAAAAGGAGGAATATCAAAACAAGCAGAAAAGGCATTCAGAAAAAGTAGTACTCGAACAAGAGAAAATTGAGATAGAAAAAAAGAAAATAAAATTATTAGAAGAATATTTAAATCAAAAGAAATAGATAATAGAAGAAGAATGAAGAAATAGAAATAGATAAAGAAATAATAAATATTTATGTTAGTTATGTAAATAAAAATTTTATTTGAGAATCTGTACATTTTAAGTATAAAACGTTTTTCAGTACGTAAATAAATGTATGTAAAGAACGTAATTAACATCACATTTCTTTAATTTTCCTCAAGTATGTATCCCATATTATTATTAGAAGGTAATAACATTATTTTCATTATTGCACATTGTTTTATATGTCCGGCTCTAACAAAACGTTACAGTTATTGTAATATCATATTTAAACAATTCTAAACATTAAACATTTCATTAAATATTAATTGCTGCCGGTTTCGTTATATTTGGAATTGTTGAATTGGTGCCACTTTGGTCTAAAAAAATATTACCTCCATAAATAATTCTTGCACTTCCAAATCGCTGTCCATTTTTAAATGGGAAATCAGTTGAAAGCAAAAAGTTACAGAATAAAGCAAAGGTCCAGATAACTATACTTTTCTTTTTTTTAGGTTAGGGTCGTTTAAAGCACTAAAGTGTTAAAAGTACAATTCTATTCTGTTCCTTTCTGGAGCAGCACAGGGCGTAATGCACCAGTGCATGAAGTCTAGTGAATGGAAAACGGTAATTATAGCAAGCGTTAGTTCATTTGCCTTTGTTATATGTACAACCAGACATAAACAGAAAAAAAATTGTGGTAGCATATTTATAACACAAGTCTAGAAAAAATGTATGTTCGTGACTTGCGCAGACCGCGCGTAACAGCCCGAATTTATTTATTTCTCTTGTGCCGTTTTCAATTCGTATTATGTTAGGTGTTAGGTTAGGTTTGCGGTTTGCCTTTACCCGTTTGCCTGGCTTCGTTGTTCTTCATCGTTACCAGGGAGAATAGTCTCCATGATCGTTACTTTGATGCTATTTTATGTGATAATTTATAGTGTGTGCAGTTGTGGTTATTGTAAGGTGCATATAAAATAATGAATATTGATGCAAAATGTTTAAAACGATATGTGTAGAGATTTCGAATTTTGCGTCACATCTACCTAAACATAGTTATTATACCCACTACCTAATACCTATTAAAGACAAGAGGACAAAAACTAAAAAAAATGGAACATGGAACTATACGTTTCGGAGAACTATTTGAAATACGGAAGAATCAAGTGAAATATATGTCATTTATTTTATATTTTGTACAAATGTTTATATTTGTGTACGTGTATAGGAATGCTTAAATAAAAGAGTTTAAGTATACCTACAAATATTTATTTTTTCAAGATATCCTTTTGTATCTTATTTATTTCTACTGTAAAATTTATTATAAAAAGGTTAGATGTAATATTGACTATGCGTAGAAGAAATTGTAACTTCTTTATATTATTTTTCAGTAATGTTATTTGTTTTTCATGTACCTACCATTTCAAGATTCATTATCATAACTAATTTTTTTAATTATCATTTCGTCATTGTTACCATATTCATGATGGTCTCAACATTAGAAAATTTCCATTTCAGAAGCGTATTTGAACAATATAAAATGATGTGTAGCTTTTTTAAAATGCTTCTGATATTGTTTTGTGACATTTTTATTTGTACGATGAATGGCAGAATCCGTAATCCATATTAGAAACTTTTTCAGTGGCTTCTCAAAAAGAAAAAAATTCTTGATAAAAGTTGCTGCATCCCCAAACTAGAAGAGCAGTTATTTTTTTTAATATACAATAACATTTTTCAGTTAAATTTTTTGAGAAATCAGAAAAAATTGTCTGGATTACGAATTAAGTCATTCACAATACAAATAAAAATATTACAAAAGAGTATTAGAAATATTTAAAAAATTACTCACACTGTTTATACTGTTTCAAAAACGCTTCTGAAATGGAAATTATCTAAAGTTGAGAGCATTATGAGAACAATATGGTATAAAAATTATTATGTTACTCAAACATTTCTGAAAATATACTGAAACGTAAAACAAAAATATCGAGTGCATAAATGGAACATCAAAAGAATGTTACTGAAACCAATTTTTTGAAACGTTTCATTGGAAACGTATTTTGGGGAGGACATCTTCGGTTTCTTTTGGGTTACCAGAACGTTGCATGGATTTTTTATGAAACGTTTCAAGAAAAATGGAAACATTTCTGGAACATGTCAGAAACTGAAAAATGTTTAGTGGGGAGAGATAATCCCCCTCGATCCCAAATCATTGAGGCCAATTTCTAGCCATGGAATAATGGCGCGGTTAATTATTAGTTTGTTCTGTACTCATTTCTTTTTTAAATTATCATTTTTGTGTCATAACTCCATAAGTTATTTTACAATTGTTTTTATCAACCTTCGTTAAAAAATCAATAAATACGTTAGAGGATATTACATTTGCCATACTTTTCTCAAATCATTGTTTTACTAATTTTACTATGCTAAAAAAATCAGAGCCATATATAAATTTCCCAATAGCAGAAATAATTACAAATAATTACCACAATGAAATAATCTGTGACAGTAAAAAAACTTCTTCATGAAACACATTCAGAAATCCTAACTTCATAGTTGATTATAAAACTTTTTTGGAAATAGTTGTGCTTAAAAGAACAGAGGAAAACGAACAAGAACACTTTAAGAGTAAAATGTTCTAACCTATTGGAATACAAAAAGCTAATCTGAAGTGTTTCTGAACTGCTACCGAAGTTAAAATTTTTGCTAATTGGAATGCATGAATTCTATTCTTTCAACAATGGAAGACGAAGAATACAGATCAGAGATAGATTAAATATTTGATATTTGACATTTGATATTTTTTCAGCATTAAACATTAACAATAAACAAACGTGGCATTGCGTATGTACATATATCAATTTATATTTAAAAAAAAATAATTGCAATGCCTAGTTTTGAAGATATATCGTGTAGGCTTTGCCTTAAAACTGTAACCGATACAAGTTTTAAAGAAATAGATGATGTTACTAGAGACGTTCTCTATGCGCTTTTACTGCAATTGGTAAGTCTTTAAGTTAGCGACTAGTATATTATATACAGTCACTTTTGTTTTCTATATAAAATAAAATATATTTCAGAAATGTAATGGCGAGAGCAAACAGGTATTGTGTAATGCTTGCAACGAGAAACTAAATACGGCATTAAAATTTAAGACAATATGTCTGAATACTAATAATAAAATTGTTCAATATGTGAATTGCGAGGAAATGGTACAGCTAGACTTGAAAGAAATTTATATGCAGGAAAAGGTAGACGGGCAGTTAACGGATATTTCATGTGATCAAAAAGTGTGTAGATTATGTATGCTGCTGATAAAAAATGAATTTAGGTGCATACAAACGGAGGAACTCGATACTATTCAGGAGTTTATTCCAGAAATGGTACGTATGCTGTGATAGCAACATCAGAAGCTGCAGTAATGTTGAATAAAAATTTAGCAAACAAATTTTTTCCAAAACAGTATTTTGTCAAAAACGAATGGTGCTCACATGTTTCTTATTCATAATTTAGAATCCGCATCTTGAAAATTTTTTATATTCTGATATAAAAAAATTATGGAATGTCTATCTTTTCTATTGAGTTAGTTTTTAATACTAAAAAACGTATGAGTTTTGTATTATTTAGGATGTTTTATTAATAATTGTTTGTAACAATCTTTGTATGACGTTTAATTTACCATACGTTTGTTTTTCGTTACTAATTTATATACTTTTGCGACTACTTTCAGAAATTGTGTCTTTTTTTAGAATGTTAACATCATCAAAGATCCTATTATTTGCAATTTATGCTTTGATTCCCTGTGCATTCATAATAAATTTATAAAAGATTGTCTAGACGTAGGAAATGAAAAAACTACATCACCACTTAATTTTTTCATCAAAACTGAAAACTTTGACGAAGAATCCAAAATGAACGAATGTGAGGAAATGGAAATGTCAATCAAAACAGAAAGCATCGAGATAAAATCAGAAAAAAATGAGGCAGGAAGGTAAGAAGGGTATTTTGATTTGTGTTTTAATAAAAGGTGTATTCCAAAATATACAGGATTTTTCAAAAATAGGTATTTGACGGTATGTGTCATCGGTATAAAAATAAGCATCGAACAAAGACTTTTATTTTATTTTGAATAAAATAAATTGGTTTTGCCAAAAAAACTTTTTGTTCTTTATCTCTAAAAAGTCCTGTTTACCTGAGCATACCTTATATAAATGTTGCCTTAACACAGAACAGAAATAAATGATATAAATAATAAATTTGTCAAAAATATTTAACGGCTGTTTTGTAATTGATTGATTTTGGAATGTTTTGAGCAAAAAAAAATGTGATTTTATAGCATCGAAATTTTTTACACATTTGTGAATGTCTCGAAATTTCTGTGATCTAATTGTCATATAATTGGTGCTTTTATTATATTATAATGTTATATTTTACACTATATCATGAAGAAGTGTTAGATGGGGTTTTCAAGTTTCTTTGCTGATTCGTGCAATTTTTTCAGTGACAGTTTTACTCTTAAAACAAAAGAAGAAACAGTTGAGAACAGCAATCATCAATATGAGAACAGATCACAAATGTACAAGTGTGATATAGAAACCAAACACAAAAGCAATTCTACCGACTTAGACCAATGGGAAAAACCAATGAACGTTTCACCAGTCGAAATGTACAGATGTGATAAATGCGCCTACGAATGCAAAAGTAAGAAATGTTTCTGGAAGCATCAGTTAAGACACGGAGATCCCTCCAAGGTGCGAAGGTACTTATGTAATACGTGCGATTATAAGACTGTATACAAGAATCACTTCACAAATCATCAGTTGAAACACAAAAACACTTGGGAGGTGCAGATGTACACTTGCGATCTTTGTGACTTCAAAACAAAGTACAAGAACAGCTTACAGAGCCATCATTTGAAACACAAATGTCTTGCGGAGGCACCGATGTACAAATGCGATTTGTGCGAATATACGACTGACCAGAAAAGGTACTTTACAAAACATCAATTGAAACACAAAAACGTTTCGGAAGTACGCATGTATGATTGTAATATTTGTGATTTCAAAACTAGATACAAGAGCAGCTTCGACAGTCACCATTTGAAACATAAAAATCCCAGCGAGACACGACTATATACGTGCAATCACTGCGATTTTAAAACAAAGTACAAATACAACTTGGATCCTCATCTATTAAAACACAAAAACCTCTCTGAAGTATCAATGCACGCATGTAACAAGTGTGACTATGAAACGAGAAATAAGAAATGCCTCCGAGCTCATCTATTAAGGCATAAGGCTGCATCGGAACTTACAAGTGTAAAGTCTGCAAATTCGGATCTAAACTTAAGCGTAACTTAAAGACTCGTCTTAAAACACTGGTACTCTAGAAATCCAAATGCACAAATGTGATATGTGTGATTTTAGGGAGAAATATAACAGCAAGCATTTTTACAGTCTTTTGAGAGTTTGTAACTTATCAAAAGTGTAAATTATTATTACCATATAATTTTGTTTTTTCATACTGACAAAAACGAAAAAAATGTGATTAAGAAAATTCAGATGTATATTATTACAAAAGAATTCAATCTGCAAATTAATATTTACATAAACACAAATATTATGATTATACAGTAAAAATGTAACCACAAGAATTTTTACATGATATTTTTAAGCAATCCTGGAACTTTCAACGCAGGCGTAAATTCCTTGAAAACAAAAGTTTGAAAAAAAAATGCTATCAACATATCTAGAAATGTTTCTATTTTCAAGATGAATTCACATTTTACTGAACTATATCTGGAGATGTTTAACATAAATCAAATTAAAGATAAAATTTCATCAAATTTGATGTAAATGTGTTAACCAGTGATATAGTCATCCTAGTAAGGAGAGGAAGGAGATACTAAGGACCTCATAAATTCGATATACATTTAACAATGTAAAGTCTGGTTATGTATAAAAGCACGTCTTTGGCGGAAAGTGCTACTCGACCTGTTTTGACCAATAGTTTTGTAGCTGCACATATTTGATTATTGTTTACGCGATTGGAATATGTAGGTTGACTTTACACGTGAGGTAATATGTCAGTAGAGTGGTAGATAGGAATAGACAAGTGGCAAATGTTAATGGCCCGATACGTCACCGCTTCGTTTTATTTATTTTTATTTTCAATTTATCGGTTTATGGAAAGGTGTTTTCCTACTTTCTGCGTGAAGTATGTTTCTACTGGAATTGAAATAAAATTTCCCGACATGCACTATGTCGGCTTTTATTAAGTTTGATTTAAGTTAAAATTTAAAGTAGTATTTAGTGAAGCGTTTTTGTGTGTGTGTTATAATGCTATTTATTTCAGTTCTTAGTGACGGTACACTGTGTCTGTGTCTTCATTGTTAAAATTGTGTAATGTGATGAAAAAAGCTTACACTAGCCTGATAAGCGTCAAGGTATGAAAATTATGAAAAAAAAAGTTAAAAAAGGCAGTTTTTACAACAAAATATGAGTATTTATGATGTTCGTATGGGTCAAAGGTAGCCTTTTTTCAAAGTTACACCCTGTATATTTTTAAAATGCATATTTACACTGAAAAAAAAATATTTTCAAATCATTTAAACCCTTTTCGAACCGCTCCTGACAGCTGATCTACAAGGGTTGATCTACTGTATTCGGTCACTAACCTAGATTTTAATATTTTTTTAATAGTGAACGACAAAAACAGACTTCTTTACATAGACACATAAATGAATCAGATATTTCTTTACATTTCAAATATTAACAAGTATTATTTATTTGTTAGTAAAAACAAATGTTTAAGGATAATAATTGTTTTCGAATGTTAGGTTGTTTAGAATTTTTAATATTACTAACTTCCTCGCTATGTTTTATACTTAAATAAAAGTTTCTAGAATTATGTTCAATTAATTATTCCGTTTGTAATACATGTACCTTATTGTGTATTATTACTTTTCAAAGAGTAGTATCAAAGAGACTGATATCAAAATGACTGTCTTTTTTAGACCTTTCGAATACATGGTTAAAATTAATGACATTATGTCTAAATCACCCTGTATATTAGACTTTCCAGTTTATTCGTTATGTTCGGGATTTACTAGCCAAATATGTTAAAAACCGAGGTTGTCTATAATAAATCGTACAATTAGTTTATTTCACAATCCAGAACTATAGAAAATGTTTGTTAATTTGTGCAACTTTTTTCAGTGACTGCCTTCTTCTTAACTCAAAAAAGGAAACGCTTCAGAACGGCAATAATGAATATGAGAACAGATCACAAATGTACAAGTGTGAAATAGAAAGCGAACACCAAAACAATTCTATGGACTTGGAAGACCAGTGGAAGAAACCAGTGAACGCATCACACATCGGAATACACAAATGTGATAATTGTAACTATGAAAGTGAAAGTAAGACATGTTTCGGGAGGCTTGTGTTGAAACACGGAGATCTCTCCAAAGCGCAAGGGTACACATGTAATGCCTGTGATTATAAGACTGTATCCAAAAGTCACTTTACAAATCATCAGTTGAAACACAAAAACACTTGGGAGGTGCAGATGTACAGTTGTAACCTGTGCGATTTCGAAACAAAGTATAAGAACAACTTGCAAACGCATCATTTCAAACATAGAAATCTTCCGAAGATGCCAATGTACAAATGTGATTTGTGTGAGTACACGAGCGACAACAAGAGGTACCTTAAAAAACATCAGTTGAAACACAAAAACATATCGGAAGTGCAGATGTACAATTGTAATATTTGTGATTACAAATCAAGATACAAGAGCACCTTTGACAATCACTGTTTGAAGCACAAAAGTCCCGCCCAGACACAAATGTACACATGTGACTTCTGCAATTTTAAAACAAAATACAAGTACAACTTGGATCCTCATCTATTAAGACACAAACACCATTCCGAGGTCACAATGCATGCATGTGACAAGTGTGACTATGAAACTAAAGATAAAAGATGCCTCCAAACTCACTTATTACTGCACAAGGATTCAGTGTACAAGTGTAGGTTGTGCGACTACGAAAGTAAACTTAAGGGCAACCTAAAAACTCATGAGTTAAAACACAAGAATTCTTCAGAAATCCAAATGCACAAATGTGACAAGTGTGACTTTAGTACAAAATATAAGAGCTGCCTACAAAATCATTTCCTGAGCAGACATAAAGATGCTTCCGAAACACGAACGTACAAATGTGACGTTTGTAGTTTTGAAACGATGCACAAATTCAGCTTAAGTAGCCATCAGTTAGTGCACAAGGACCGTTCAGAAATACACATGTACAAGTGCAGCGACTGTGACTTCGAGGCTAAACACAAGAGCAGCCTCAGAACCCACGTGCTGACACATAAAAGTCCGTCGCAAGTGCATATGTACTCGTGTGACACGTGCGACTATAAATCGAGATACAAGAGCAAAGTCGATAGCCACCAGTTGGTACACAAGAGCCCTTCAGAAGTACAATGGTACAAGTGCGATACGTGTGATTACGAAACTAAACGCAAACAGAATCTCAAACGTCACGTGTTGAAGCACAAAGAAGCTTCACGGGAGACAGATGTACAAGTGTTACCGATGTGATTATAAATCCAATCGAAAAAGTTGTGTAGTATATCATTACTTGGTGCACAGAAACGCATCAGAGGTGTAGATGTACAAGTGTGACTTGTGTAATTTTGAAACGAATTGTAAAAACGGTTTGAAGTACCACCTGTCGACACAAAAACTATTAAAATAAAAACATTGTTATAATATACTTTCGTTGATAGGTGATCTTGCTGAGGCAGGGCCGCTAGGTTAGGGGTCAGGGGAGTATTGAGCACTCCCCGAGATCCCGCGTCTGTATCCTTGCCAGGAAAAATGACAGACTAGTAAATACTGGACGTTTACAGAAATCTGTAAATACTGATATGTATTAAAAGACTTAGAATGTTTGAACATTTTTTCATTTGTTCCCTTTTCATTGTTTCATACTGTTATTAATATTTATTAATATGTACTTCAAAGATGTTCAATTCAACGATATTAACAGTATAATACATATAATATAATGATCTTATTTCTTTAACCACAAGTCTAATGCGTGATGTAAATGTCCATTGAGTCCTTTCTCAAAATTACAAATATTTATGGAAATATTAAATTACAAAAATCACAATACAATATAAAATTTTAAAATGCACTAATTGAAAATTGACGCTATTAAATTACTCAAACATTAAATTTAACAAATAAATGCTTGCTCTTTTATTGGAAAGAAATGTATTTAATCACTTACTAACTAAAAAATACTTTACTCAACAATCTGTCAAGCTAAAGTCATCTTCCCATCCACATGTACCCAAATACTCGAGGAACTGCAAGTAATTATGTAATTTAAAACGGGATACTGATATCTGAAACTTAGAAGTTAATGTCGAGAATTTTGGTAGGTCATTGGCTTATTTAGTAACATAGCCCCACGTTTGGCGCCATGAGGAGGTTTGGCTGTATCTGACGCTCGTTGTAAAATTAACCTCCCCTCATCTGCTCTCAGCGTATTGAGAGGGTTGTAAATCCTCATAATTAGTCCGGAAGAAGCTATTTTTACTTGCGTCAGTCGCCGGCTCGCAGATAAGGGGTTCACAAGTATCTGGAGTGTTTCCGCTTTAACGTTAGCCACGAGGAACGTAGACGCGGAAATTTTCTTCATTATGAGTTCTAGTTTTGCTTCAGGTTGATGACTCATGCTCTAATTTGTTTTTGGTCCTTTGGACACAGGTTTGTATTACTTTAAATGATTCGTGTAACAGGTCTTCAACTGAACCCTGTATATCACTGGTGGATCTGCTATCCTAGTGTATGAAAATCCCTGTTTTTGCACTGGGTAGAAGCACTATAATGTATGGCCTCCTTAGAGTGCCGGTACGTTAAGCTTTAGAAGCTTTAGAAGAATTGCAGGTTGAAAGCTCAGACTAATAAATAAAGGGGACGCCGTTATTTACAATCGATAGTGCGCCATTATTCCATGGCTAGAAATTGGCCTCAATGATTTGGGATCNTAATTTTGACTTTCCACCTGTTGCACCAGGTTTCAAGTTGGTCTAAGGAGTTTTGGAGGAGGGAGACGGAATATCTAGGATCTACGGATTGGGATGTGATTGTCAGGTCGTCGGCGTATAAGTATATGTTGATGTTGGGGGAGATGTGGGATGTCGGAGTTGTAAATGGTGTATAGGTGTGGGGACAGGACGGTGTCCTGGGAGACGCCGGCCTCCATGGAAAGTAATGCAAATAACTGATAAATAAGTAAAAGTGAGACTTACCTGGGCATAATAATAATAATAAACAGACCTTATTTCCACTATTCGGTCACATTAATACAAAAATTTAGATAGGCGTATTCACACGACTCGTGCGATGGCACGCGTACCATGGGACGGCTGTCGTATGGAAAAACCCTAAGAAGGAAGCGGTTCACTTTCACTAGGATCAGAATGAAGAGCCGGCTCAGTGAACCGGATCAGTCATCAGAGACAACTAACCGCCCATCTTTAATGTGATGACTGTTATGTGATGGATGACTGATGAGATATGAGGCATGAGGGTGAAAGTGACAGGAATGATTGAAACAGAGCTGATTGTTGCGCCATCTGTGATTTCTGCACACAAATTTCTTCAAATCACTGCCGTTTCAAACCATTCTGCACAGTTACCTATAATGAANGGATTGAAACAGAGTTGATTGTTGCGCCATCTGTGATTTCTGCACACAAATTTCTTCAAATCACTGCCGTTTCAAACCATTCTGCACAGTTACCTATAATGAATATTTTAATATTGAGTTTGCTCCTTATGATAAGCGGTGATGTCAGATTTAGAACAATTACTAAGATTTACGTTAATTTGAAAATTTTCTGGCAAATAATAATTGATAACAAGCCTCTAGTAATAGCATATTTTCTTTCTTACACCTCTTGATTTTTTTTTCAGTGCAGCGAGGAGGGCGAAAAAGATAAAATGTATGCTTCAATTGAAAATAAATTTATTTGTAATACTATTTACACTTGGTAAGCAGATTTTATTCAAATCATTTTGCACATTGATAACACGCGCCATTATTCTATGGCTAGAAATTGGCCTCAATGATTTGGGATCGAGGGGGATTATCCCGAGTTGAACCTCACTTGGCGAAACACCCGCAGGTATTCCGCGTATCACCACCCTCAGCGTTTTTTCTTCGCTGAGGGTGAAGGTGTGGTACTCCTACATTGATAACAGAGTAAATAAAAGATTCATTCTATACCTATAATTTAAAAGTTTTGATTCCCATACTTATTAAGGTATACCATTATTCTTAGGTTATAATGAAGGTCGCGGGTTTCTCAAACGTTTTTCGTTTCGTTTTTACTTTTATGAAGTTTATAGTAACTTTCCAGTTTTTTTATAATAAATATGTATCCACAATCTGACAACTCTGTACTGAGCAGTGGTGCGGGGGATCACGCAATTTACTCGCGCTCTCGCGGATTAATGTCCTTTAACGCCTAATTGAATTTGATTATTTGTATTAATATCTATTAGTCAATTGTTGATTTTTAAGTTCAAATTTTAAAATTGTGACAATGTTGTTTTATACATACTAACAATGGGTTCGAGGAAAAGATAATTTTGCTAGACCCCATATTTATTTGTGAATATAACTTTTGATGTAAAATTTATATTCCGATTTGTGTATTAAATAAAATATTGTAAACATTTACTTTTTTTTTTAAATGTATTTAAACAAAATGTTCTCATCTCGTCTAATGTCTATGTAGTTAATATAATAGGTTAATATTTTCACATTACCTTGTTAAGCTTGTTAACATTTAAGTGACTGTAAAATGAACAGTCCCATGTATTATTGATGTATAATTGATTTGTTCCATCTCCATTTTCATTCAAATTGTCGTTCTACTTATAAGGCATTTTAAAATTGTTTTAATCTATCTTCATTAAAAACAAATCGGTGAATATGGAAAACGTAATATCCTCTAAAATATTAATTGATTTTTTTTTAAATGAAGGTAGATCAAAACTATTTTAAAATAACTTATGATGCTAAAATGACAATTTGAAAGAATGGGATGGAACAAATTAATAATAAACAAACAATTTAGTAGCAAGAAGAGCGTCAGAAGAAAGGGCCCTAGCCGGCGGGGCCCAGCCAGGACAAAAAGAGGTCCCACAAAGCGCCTACACCGGCCGCATTTGCGGTCGGTGTAGACGACGGATGGGGCCCACCTACGAAGGCTGTCCAGGCCTACACGAGATGAGGCAGGATAAAGAGGGATAATCCCCCTCGATCCCAAATCATTGAGGCCAATTTCTTGCCATAGAATAATGGCGCGTGAGGCCAATTTCTAGCCATGGAATATTGGCGCTGTATTATGATTGGCTAGTTACCGATTGTAAGTTTGTTCAGCTTCCGCACGAAAGAATATATGTAATATCATCAAATTTTTAATTTTTTCAGCGAACACTAGAGGTTCTAATAACAATATTACTTTTCTGTTCAAGTTAGTATTACAGTTTTCGATACATAAATAGTGCTAACGATGGCGTGTTTTCCAGGCCCATTGTGAGGTGGCGCTCGTACGTTCGTGATTCTGCTCTTCCTATCCTTTTCACGGGTCTTATTTTTTTAGGCTTATGTTCTTATCTATGATATGAGGTGATATTTGTTTATACACCATACCGCAATTCTTTTTTAATCCAGGTATTTATAAAGAAAATTATCTCCCTGTGCTTTGTTATATAAACTGTCAATTGTCAGCTATGCTGACTTGGTAAGTACTTGAAAATAAGTGTTAAATCTCCATAAGATGTATAGGTTTTACGACTTTTATAATAGGATACCTATTTTTAATTTTAGACAAGATTTTCCAGAGAGTCCTTGGTGAACCTAGTACGAAAAAGAAAAAGCTCTTTGCAGAACTGGCTTCCTCATGAATAGACGAAAATAACAATCAAGCCTGGTATGCACTATGCAGTACTTATTTAATGTGATGAGACGATCCTCAATATATGTAGCAGCTCGATGAACTAATGTGTGCATATATAAGAAATTCGTGGCATATATATACATAAATAAATGGATCTAATAAAATATGGATTAAAAATAGTAATGGTCTAAAATTTCTATAAATGAAAAAAGTATTTTATTATATTTAATTGTAATTTAAGTAGGAGATGAATCAAACAGTGTGTACAGTTTCTGATCTTATTTGCATTAACAATTTTGTTTCAAGCTGGTTGTCATTCTAGTTATACAGTTTTTGAACGAATTGTCACCTATTTTAGTAGGGCAGAAATAAATATTTATCTTTTAATAAATAACTATACATTCTATAAAGCGATGTTATGACTATATTTTTGAACAATAAAAATTGATGACATATTTAACTTGTTTTTTTTGACAAGCTATCTAGTCAATTTTATTATTTTTGTGTTGACAACACTGGTTCCTCTGTTGTGAGTAGGTTATTATTTTGTGAGGTTAGTGTTTGGTTTTTGTTTATTTTGCACATTCTTCTCTACGATTGTGAGGAAGAAAAATGCAACCAGAAAACTTTAAAGAAACATTCTGCAAGTTGTGTCTACATCCTATAAGCAATACAAATTGCCAGTTAATAGGAGAAATCACAAAGGACTTTCCAGAAATTGTTTTGCCAAAATTGGTAAGATTAAGTTATGTATTAAGATTTTGTTTGTATTTTATTTTTATATCAATCTTTAATTACTAATCTGTTTCAGAATTTGAAGGAAAGAGATAAATATTTCATGTGCAACAGCTGCTCCGTGAAATTATCTGCCGCTCTTAACTTTAAATCCGCATGTATGGGAACTGAGGATATAATTATTTCTTATGTTAATTCTAGTAAAACGTCAGTGGTGGATTTAAAGGAAATTTATCTAAAGGAGAAGGGAAATGTTCAGTTAATTGATATAAGGGAGAATCAGAGAATTTGTCGATTATGTTTTCAGTTGGTGACGTGTGGATGCGTTTCACTAAATGAAGTGGATGTTGACATAATTAATACATATATACAAGTTGTAAGTATTTTCAAAGTGTTTAGAAAAATATTTGTGTGTTCCCATAAATTAAATTATACAGGGTGTTCCTAAATATCATGTACATAAGGGAGGGGGTAATTCTTTGGCTAATTTCATGACTAAAAGTTCATATAAACATAGGTCCGCAAACACTTCATTACCGATCTACAGTGTTGAAATTTTAAGAGTTTTTTAGTTTTTTCTCTATAGCTCCCACAGTTTTTGAGATATTTAGCTCAAATTTGGAATATAGGTGACGCTGTAGGGCATACATCATAGGACATGCCAAATGGTCGTGATATTCTACAGAGTGATATTTTTTCGAGGTTCATGTCCCCTTTTTTCCCTGAACTTTTGTGCGGTGCGCCACTGGTAGATTCTACAATCAAAATTGGATTTTATGTTTTGTTGAGAAACTTTTTTGCTTCTTATGATTTCTTCGTATCTGCGACCGTTATTGAGCAAAAAAAATAAAAAACGATTTTATGTAATTAGTTAGATGAAATTTAAAATCTTAAAATGGTCCAGTAGGCTCTGGTTTTATTTAGATAATCTGTTGTTTCTATTAATTTTGACAGTTTATTCGCCACTACCTGTTAAAAATTAAAGCTGGGATGACCCATTTCAAAATTCGTAAAATTTGGCATTGTTATGAGATTATAATGAGTATTCACTTTTACACCTTACAGTTTGTAACATAAACCTTTAATTTTTAAACATATGCAGACCCAAGTTACTATTTCAAATGCGAACTGTCAAAATTAATAGAAACAAGAAATTATTTAAATAAAGCCAGAGCCTACTGGACCATTTTAAGAATTTAAATTTAATCTAACGAATTACATAAAATCGTTTTTTATTTTTTTCTCAATAACGGTCGCAGATACGAAAAAATCATAAGAGGCAGAAAAGTTTCTCAACAAAACATAAAATTCAATTTTGATTTTAGAATCTACCAGCGGCGCACCGCAGAAAAGTTCAGGGGAAGAAAAAGGGGCATAAACCCCGAAAAAATATCACTCTGTAGAATATCAAGCCCTACAGCGTAACCTATATTCCAAATTTCAGCTGAATATCTCAAAAACTGTGGGAGCTATAGAGAAAAACCTAAAAAATCTTAAAATTTCAACACCCTGTAGATCGGTAATGAAGCGTTTGCGGAACTATGTTTATATGAACTTTTAGTCATGAAATAAGCCAAAGAATTACCCCCTTCCTTATGTACATGATATTTAGGAACACCCTGTATATAGTGCTATATAAACATAAAATATTTATAAAGTTGATAAGGGTCATACTTAATCTTTTTTTATCAAGTTTTGTAAGAGATAGAATGCAATGTCTACATCACTACGAGTTAATTTTCACAAACCTCAATTAGGTCTTGAATGAGAAAAACTGATTTAATAAACCATTTTTAACCAGTTGACAGAATTTGGAATTCCAGTGGCGGAGATACGGGGTATCGGTGGCATATTTTTCTAAATTAAATAGTACGCCACTTCTTTACGGTAACAATTATGGCATTTTCGGATTCGTCTTTCAATTTTCTACAAATTACTGATCTCTTATATTTTTCGAAAAAAGCCTGATTGAAAACACACTTCGATATTCGAATAAAATGCGGTTTAAAATTACATAGTAGGTTGCAATAGCAACTTTGACATTTTGAGCAGTTAAAAGAAAGAATAAATAATGCTTTTTATCACATTCAAGAAACAATAAATTTCGAACAAATTACATTTTTGTTACTAAAAAGATATTGTGCCGCCTGTGTTCGTGGAGGTATTTTTGAGCATTTGCTCAAATAAAATCATTAATTATTAATTAATCATTATTAATTTCTTTATTCGAATGATTAGTGTTTGTCATGTCATTTAAGTAAAAGTGCTTTCTGTTCGTTTTGTAAATTTTACTTGAAAATCACTTTTTTTTTTCGAAAAACAAGAGGGTAGTAATTTATAGAAAATTGAAAGACGAATGCGAAAATATCATGACTGTTACTATAAAGCAGTGGCATACTATTTTATTTAGAAAAATATACCACCGATTCCCTGTATCTCCGCCACTGGAGCATCTAAATTTTAGGAAAAAGCCTCAGATTTTGGATAATTTTTACGTTCATACATGTACCCAATTTCAAATTATTTCACTTACTAGTTTTTAAATTATTTAAAAAAGTTAAAAACACTTTTTTAAGTTTAACACCCTGTATCTTTCTAACTTTATACGAAAGACTTCCCTTAAAATTCACCAAAGAATACGAGGTTTAATTTTTGGTCATTGTTTGTGAATCACCCTGTATATGGTTTATTTCAAGTAGCAAAAATGGTTGCGGTAAGCATCTAAATAATATTTAAAATCATTCATAATGTTACTTCATTAAAATAAAATAATGTTACACATTCAACAGTAATTACCTAGATGTGGTTTATCATTTTATCGTTTATTTCAATAGAGTGCATTCAAGCAACATGAAGCAAGAATAAATTTTTTCACTTGCACTCTTCAAAGAAAAAAAGCGAACTTAAATTACATTCACATTTGTTAACGCATTTCATTTCTTTCCTTATTAAAAGAAACTAGTTTGATGGTCATATGTTCATGGATAATCAAAAATTGAAGTTGAAGTAAAGCATTCGGTTGGCTGTTCTTGGTGACCATTCAACCTCATTTTTTTCAATTTTGACCTTAATTTATTTATATTATTTTCCTCATTTATTATGTTTTAGATACAGTATTATTTTGCCTTTCAATATAATATAAGGTAAAAGTACAATCGGACATACATACACATCACATAAATGAATAAAAGTATTAAATTAGGTCATTAAATTATGATTAAAAAAGCAGAAAACTGCTTTAATTAAAAACTCTTAAGAGATAAGAGCAAAATATTCCTAGATGTATTATTCTTTAAATTACGGATTATAAGTAAACAATTTTATAACTTATAAGATAATCAACATATACGAGTATAATGTGACCCATTTCAAATGGAACCACCTTTATAAAAAATGTATTTACTGACTGATTTAACCTTAACAAATTTAAACTCGTTTTCTAATAATTAGTTATGATGAATATATTCATAATCCAATTTTTACAGGGGATTTTTCACCTTCATTATTGCATTCTTATCTCCACAATTAATTAAAACATCAATCTGACAAAATATTTCGTTAAAATGATCTCTATGGAAATCAGTTAATTTCTGTTGTTGAGGTGGACTACAAAATGTTAAAAGGAAGCATTTATCGAGAGGTTGCAGTTTGGATTTAAATTAAAATTCCAATTATTCGAAAAATTTCGGTAAACGTTGTTATAATTCGCAATTCGTCTTTTAACTTTTTCCCCATTTGGTATGGTTAAGACATATACAGGGTGATTCAGTCATAATGTCGTTAATTTTAAGGAAGGATAAGGAAAAATTATTAGAATACGAATACACGATTAATAAAATTAAAAATGCATATTTATGTTGAAAAAAAAATATTTTCAAATAATTATTTAAACTCCTTTTTGGACTGCTCCTGACTGCTGGGTGAATCTTGACCTACCGTATTGTGTTTCTGTGTATTTTTTTGTGTTTTTAATAGTTAAACAGACTTTTTTTAAAGTTGATTAGCTAAATTGTTGCCTAATAACTGACTATGCCACTGGATTGGGGTATACAATCCTCAGTGTAGTTTCTACCAAATTTCATAAAAAAATATTCATTAATTAATATTAATATTAAAGTTTGTCTGTCAACTAATTATAATTATGTATTAAAAAAATACTTATATTGATTCAAGCCATAAAGACATACATTATTTTTGATTTTTTGAAGAAACAGTTACAGAGTAATAAAGATGTACTGCCAAAAACGCATTTTTTTAAATAACACCAAAATGGCTGATAATATTCACATAAACTTGACACAAGCCTTTACATGATCGATTGCAGTTGATATGAATAGACTAGACTAGAATAGTATTAATTTGTAAGTATTTACCTTTTACCTTGCGTTTACCTATTAACCCTTTTGCCACTAAAGGGCATATATGTCCCACGGCATTTTAGGTTTCAAAAATACAGTAGAAGTTTTTTTTGAAAATACGTTTTTTTGTATAACTATAATACTTTTATAGGCCCTCAGAACAAGTTTATTCAATATTATCTTTTTAGCATGCCACATTTTAAATTTTAATAATAATTTTTTTTAATAATTTTTGAGGTTAACTAAGACTGGTATTAATAAGGTGGACTGATGTGTATGCGAATATATACCTAGTACTAGCAGCACGGTTGGGACAGTTTGAATAGGGATTTATAATGCATTGGTATGCTTGCAGTGTTTTTTAAAATTTCCTTGGGACATATATAACCCAATAGTATTTTTAAAGCAGAAAAAATTATATTGTAGCCGTAGCGAAAGGGTTAATGTGTGTTTAGTAAAGATTTATGAATTTGAACAAGTCACATATGTTGTACCTTTATAGTTCAATTGTGCTAATTTAATTGTAACAAAACATCAACGCAAATATCTATTCATGAATCATAAACTCAAATTGTCTATGACTATCGGAATCATAGAATTAAGTGTGTAACTGTATTTACAGTTGCAAGAAAAATAGTTCTAATGTACAAGCTTTCATTTGTTTCTTAAAAAAAAAACGTTCTGCAAGAATTCAAATTAAACTGACGCTAATATTCTTTGTTGTAGGACATCAGTGCTACCCGGGACCCAGTAATATGCGGTCCATGTTTTGATTCCCTTCATAGTCATGGCAGTTTTCTGAAGAACTGCATTGATGCGCAAGAATATAAACATATAGATAAGCAATTCAATATTAAAATCGAAGAAACTGAAATAAAACTGGAAGATGGTCAGGATGCGCTGGAGAAATATGAAAACATCGATAAGCAGTCTTATATTCCATTTGAAAGGGTTGATATAAAGGTAGAGGACGATTACTGGCATGGGTAAGGAAATGTCAATAAATTTTGTAATTGTAAATTTTTTTACACTAATTGTTTTTTTCCTAAACGGGGATATACATTTTTAAATGAAGTAGCAAAAATGGTACCAGTGAATGTAGAGCCAAAAATAAGAGGATTGAAGTAAAAATACCTTATATGAAAATTGCACCCCTGAGGCGATATACCCTCTTAAAGGAGGGGATTGAAATTCACATTTTAATTTTTTTCTTTAACATGAGGAATGCTAGAGACACAAAACTTGGTATGAGCATCCTAAGAATAAAGAAACAACTTTTCAATATTTTTTTCATATATCGCCTCAGGGTGCAACTGGTACCATTTTTGCTACTTCATTTAAAAACACTGTATAAAATATAAAGCTTGAAAAATCTGTGATTTAAACACGTTTTAGTTTGAATTATCCGTTTTCCAAAGCTCTGTTTTGTCTTATGTTCATTTCTTTTCAAACTATTCATTTTTTCAGTGAATCTTCTTCATATGGCTTTGATGAAAAAATTGATAATGAAAAGATGCACGTTTGTGAAGATGTGGGAGAAGTAAAGAGCGAACGCGTGCTTAAATGTGAGACAGGATTTAATGACACCTACAAAAGCGAAAAGCCTATATTTCAGAATTGTGCGCCTGCTTTAGACACACCGTTGTACCGATGCGATGAATGTACATATGAAACTAAACGTAAACCGAACCTGATAAGGCATCAGCTGAAACACAAAAACCCTTCAGAAGTAAGAATGTACAAATGCGATACTTGCACTTACGAAAGTAAATATAAAGGCGACATAAACAAGCATCAGTTGATCCACAGAAACACCTCGGAAATCCAGATGTACAAGTGCAGTATTTGTACTTACGAGGCTAAATGTAAGAATTACCTAAAAATGCACGAATTAGTACACAAAGATTCTTCAGAAATCCAAATGTACAAATGTGACACCTGCACTTACGAAAGTAAATATAAGCACGGACTGGAACTGCATCTGTTAACGCACAAAGACCCTTCGGAAATCCGAATGCACAAGTGCAACACGTGTAATTACGAAACCAAACGGAAGAGCCACTTAAAAGTGCATCAGTTACTGCACAAAGACCCTTCGGAGATCCACATGTACAAATGTCATTCCTGTACCTATGAGACTAAATATAAGGGATCCCTAAAGGATCACCAGTTAAAGCACAAAAACCCTTCGAAAATTCAAATGTACAAGTGCGATAGGTGTCCTTATGAAGCTAAATATAAGAAGAATCTAAGAAATCATCAACTAACACATGAGAACTCTTCCTCGACTTGATTGTGAGAATGTAGTACGCGTAATGGCTTCTGTTAATAAAAGTTATGCTACATGTCATCCGTCGGTACATAAACGTCAAAGTATTAAAATGTAAATAATGTGTTTTCGAGATCATACCTGGGTGCAGATGTACAAATGATTTCCAAACAAGGCATAAACTTGTATTTTATTTGAAGTACTGTGTTTGGTCTGTGAATTTTAATGAGAATAACATGCATTTACTAATCCATCTGATATGATATGGCAATAGGGTCAGGGGCCTCATTTAATACAAAAAATATCCATATTTTGTAGTGATCTGTATCACACTGAAAAATATTGATATTTAAAACCTTTTCAAATATGGGGAACATTTAAATGAGAATTAGACAGAATTTCAAGTGTAGTAGTATGGTGTTAATATAACTTGCAATCTTTGAGTAGTTTTTAAGATTTGAGTTACAATAAAAATTAATATCTTAAGATTTGTTTTTTCTTTGTCTAGGAAAAATTTTACTGTACAAAAAGGAGGAGGGCCCCTTTATTTTTATTTATTATTTATTTTTGGCTGAAAAAATCTGAAAAATTTTTTTTTTAGTACCTACTAGCAATACTGGATCGTTTCCACCCTAAACGGACCAACCCCTCACCCTCCTTTCCCCCTCCACCCCCCTTAAATGCTGGGGAAACCATCGCTTATTAGAGGAATCTTTAAAGAGCTTAGAGATGCAAGACATTCAGTTCCTATGAATCTTACATATGAAGAGTTTTTTGGGTCACTGTTCACGAATCTGGTCTCAATCTCGAAATTCAAGATGGCGGACAAAAAAATTGTCTTCAAAATGCACAAATTTCTGTGTTGGGGATTTTTGTGGCTTTGGGTATCCCATTTGGTGAGTATAAAAATTGAAATGTCTTCAAAATGCACAAATTGTGTTGAGGGGTTTTTTGGGATATATAGGATACGTCATTTCGTAATTTTGCCTTCAGATTCGTAATCAGAGACCCAAAAAATCCCACTACACAAAAATGCATAGACATTTTAATTTTTTGTCCGCCATATTGAATCCACCATTTTGAATTTCGTGATTTAGAGTCCAGATTCGTAATCATAGACCCAAAAAACCCATTACAAAAAAAATCATGCAATTTGAAGACATTTCAATTTTCTTTTCCGCCATATTGGATCCGCCATTTTGAAATGACTTCAAACAATGTTTTCTGTAGTAACTTGTAAAAAATAGTTATGGAAAAATGCAAGCTAAAAATGTAAGTATGTCCTTAAAACAGAAATTTAAGAAAAAATTATATTTTGCAACGACTTCAAAAGTGCTGAATTAATGTGAATTACTTTTTTATTTAACCAATATCTACCCTTTTTACTAATTTTATTTTACACACCATGTTCTGATTTTTATCTAATTTAAAGTATTAAGCTGATTTAAAACAAATTCAAAAAAAAATTCTATGAAAGTGAAGTCCAGTAATGTTCTTCGATATTAACACCTAACTCCACAGACGCTATTGTTAATTTTGTGTATATCCCTAGATTCATATGAAAAAATCCATAGAAATACATAACCCAAATTAGAAATCTGTCAATAATCCGTAAAAGTTAAACTAACTCCATTTTATAGAAAGTTTGTTATCTGCGCATTATTGGATAGACAAATTGTGTAATAAAATCTATAAAATGTATTACTGGTTGCCTATTTGCTATACAGCCTAACTTAAAAACATGTTTAAACTTTCTCCACGTTGTAACACTGAAATAGTGATCATTAGATATAAAGGACAAAGGATCTGTCTAGTTGTTGACATTGCCCACATTTTTAGGAGATGATTCCACCAATGTAGGGTATACGGTCACTGGTCACACTGGTCAAAGTCATACATGCCGTAGCTGACGGAGGCAGCAAACGACATTATTTGATCAGCGGCACGGTATGAAAATTACTAAAAAAGGTGTAAAAAATGAATTTTTACAATAGAACATGAAAAAATGTATTTTATGTATTTTTAAAGGTCCAATGTAGCCTCCGTATAAATATGACTCTCATGGAAAGTTCTGTCCCGTGTATGTTAAAGCTTAATTTATTCAATTAATAACTGTAAAACACGACGAATGCAAATTATACTGATTATTATGCATACCGACCTACACTCCATAGCTGAAATAGAAGTAGCGGAAGTGAGACGTGAGGAGTGAGGAAGTGATAGAAATTTTTCTTTCTATGATTTGACAAATGAAACTTATCGTACATACTTTGAAATGTATTAAATGATAAAAAATAATGATACACAGTCCCACAAAACAAAATCCTGATCTGAGTAACCGACCACAGTATTCCTATGTAATTTTCAACGCTGAATCCAAATCCGAGGTTCAAAATAATTCGTATAATGCTTAAATTATGTGTAGAGCCAAGAACATCACTTAAATAGAGAGAAAGTTATGAATATTACTATCATTACGAAAAGGACACGCCTTCTACTTCTGTACCCTTCAGGACATACACTGTAGGAAAGCGCCGATGGTCTATTACAAGTTACTTGAGAGCGATAAAGTAAGACATAGAAATCCATGCGATAGAGAAGGATGGCTATTCTCTTTGTCACCGCCCGTTTCGCCCTTCCACAAATAAAATCCACTTCTTATTTGTGGAAGGGCGAAATGGGCGGTGACAAAGAGAATAGCCATCTTTCTCTATCGCATGGATTTCTATGTCTTACTTTATCGCTCTCACGTAACTTGTAATAGACCATCGGCGCTTTCTGACCCTGTAGATCTGCGTCATGAAAACTTCTAGCTTACAAGCTCTGGAGAATGCAAGGCAGACATGGTGGACGATGAACACAACCAAAGAACCAAAGCACTGTTTGGATTCTAGTTTAAAAAAGAATAAACTGGTGCCAAGAACGACTTAAAATTAAATTACATATGTATTTATTTTTACACAAATTTTGACTTTGTAATGATAAAAATTATTAACAATTAAAGAATTCACAAAGTTTACAAATCTCGTATCCCGGCTGTTACAAATTCGCTTCTCACTACAGGGATCTCAGAAACTATAAAAGATGCGAAGTAGCTTAAATGGGGACAAAGTTTTTGAAATATTTGAAAAACCCGAACTTTTGGAAATCCGTATTTGTTTCATTTCAGCCTTGCTTGAGGTGATATTGAAATAAGAACACTTTCTCATAGCAACTTTTTACCCTCTATTCTATTTCTTTATTTAAATAACTTATTTAATTCAAGTTTGATTAATCTCTCATTTGGCACACCCACTAAGTAGATGAAAGAGAAAAGTTTCATTACGCGCACCTAGAGGGCACTTTACCTAGAACTCAAAATTTGTTTTGTTTATAATTGTTTTCTCTTGCTAGACATCACAGTAATGTAAACATTATTGAAAAGAGAAAAAAATGTCAGAAACAATTATGTATTCTTTATTCAAGCCGATAAATTTAACCATTTAGCGGGAAATCACTATTAAAGTGTTATTAAACATCAAATTTTTGATAATTCTATCTGTAATTAATCAAGTTGCCATGCTGTAATATCTTCTCTTGTAAAACTAGCTTCGTTGTAAATTCAGTATCCTCATATTTTCTACAATGCTATTACATAGTTGAAAAAAATTATTATGGAGAAAAATCAAACTTATACCTGCTTTAAACAATTTTTGTTACAATTCTACACCAAAATTACTAATGACATTTATTTGTAGTATTTTATTTCGCATTAATAGCGATTTTCTGGTAAACGGTTACATTTATCGGCTTGAATAAAGAGTACATAATTTTTTCTGATATTAAATAAAACTACGTTTAAGAATTGGATTGTTTATAAAAATAATTCCAAATGTATATTTCTAAATATATTAAAGTATGTACTAAACATTCAAAAAAATGTTTAAATATTTGTTAATTACTCGATGCAAAAAGTTTCTTTCCAAATCTCTTAAATTGGGCTTGAAAGTTGTTGCAAATTATAATTTTTGATTTACAAAAATCATAAATAGTTTATTTGTTATTTATTAATTGCAACATGATAGCATTGTCTAATCACTTTAAGGTAATACATTGCTTGTATGATGCGAGATTCTCAAATGAAGGGATCTAAATCTCTCCAATAATTAGTTTAATTACAATTTACATTAACATGTTTAAGAGTTTATGTTAATATTGACAAAATCCTAGAAAATAATTTTTGTATCTTGCTCCTTCTAATTTCTTTACATTAATGCTTTGAACTGCATTATATTTGTAATACATAAGCTTTTATAATTTTACATATCTTCACCGTGTTAGTTTTTTCTTATATTGAAAAGGAACATATTCAGAGGTAGACCACTCTGTCCCAAAATTCACTCCCATAGATTTTATGTTCAAGAAAAACTTACTACTCCCTCTTGTTACATTTCTCCTTACTTTTTAACAAAAATATGAAGTATGAGTGAAAATTTTCATTTTTTTTGCACTATAACATCCGAGTTAATATAAAAAATTCACTGTTAACTAACTATATCTGACCAATTATAAATTGTAAGTCTTCTTCACACTTTGTACAATGCACACATCAGGACTTTGTGGATCCAAAGAAGCTTCGAGCCTTGTAAGTCTTACTGACTATAAAAATATTCATTGTAACTGCACACTTAGCCTGAAGAGTTTTTGTGCATTAACTGATGAATAACTAGACTGCGTTTAAGCTTTGTCTGGAAAACACATTTGTCACACTTGTACAAGTTGTACATTTGACCTTTCCAGAGATCTTGCTGTTTTACCACATGAATGTTTAAACCTTGTTTATGTTTGGTCTCAAAAACACATTCTTGTTGTGCTGTGGAAGGATTCTCATGCGTCAGTTGATGGTCCTTTAGATTTCCTTTATATTTAGTTTCATAAGGACATGTACCACACTTGTACAATTGGACTGCTGAAGGGTTTTGGTGTACTAACTGATGCCTCCTTATATCATACTTATATTTAGTTTCGTAAGCACAATTATCACACTTGTATTTTCGAATATCTGCAATACCTTTGTGTGTTAGCTGATGACTTTTTACATTACTTCTATATTTATTTTCATAATCGCATGTGTCACATTTGTACATTTTGATTTTCGAAGGGTCTTTGTGCAATAAATGATGCATTTTTAGATTGCTCTTATGTTTAGTCTCAAAAGCACAAGTATCACACTTGTACATCTGGATTTCTGAAGAATCTTTGTGCATTAACTGATGCGATTTAAGATATCTTTTAAACTTAGTTTCATAATTGCAAGCATCACACTTGTATGTCTCGATTTCGGATAGATGTAATATCTGATGTTCCTTTATATGTTTCTTATACTTAGTCTCATAATCACACTCGTCACATTTGTACATTTTGATTTCTGAACGGTCCATGTGTGATAACAGATGCGCTTTTAGATGACTCCTGTATCTAGCTTGAAAACTACATGTATCACATTTGTACATTTTGAATTCTAAAGGGTCCTTGCTTATTAACTGGTGGCAGTTGGAATTTTCCTGTGTTAGACCGCTATGAAACTCACTTATGTATACACTTTTATATGATGGTACATCTAAAGTCGTTTCATGTTGATCTATTTGAATTTCTCCTTTCTTACACATATATTCATTCCTTACTTCTCCTACATCTTCATAAGTGCGAATCATTTTTTTTTCAATTGTCTCATGTAGGTCCCACGAAGAGGAATCCCTGAAAAAATTAACATTGTTCATAATGGAATAAATATTACAAATTTAACACATAAATTTATTTCCCAAAAAGTATTTTGAGGAACTATCAGAATTGTTATATCCAAAGTTTACCTACTTTTTGTAAAAAAAAATGGGTCAACTTTTTCATATGCAGTTTTTAAAAGTATTAAACTTGATATCAATGATCATTGGACAGTCTTACAAGCATGCAGCAAGTATACCTTTTTTAAAGCAAATCAAATGCTGTTTCAAAACAGTCATTTTAAAAAATCTTTATCCTTAACAAATAGCTGAAGGAAATAATCTAGTGATATGGGCGCTCAAAACGCCCTGTATATTTAACGAAAATAATAAGCAGGTATTCATGTTTGTTACACAAAAAAAAATTCCAAAATTTTATTACAATTACTCCAAAAATAAACATGAAATAAAAAAATTATTCCTCAGGCCTATAACCTCTTAAGGAAGCAAAGTTGTACTAAGGTAACTTGACTTAGATCATCTTATTTTCATCTAAAGGAGCTAGCCCAGTATGGTCTATTCATTACTGAACACTCTTTATAAAAAAACACCACATTTCGTTTGTTGTTTTTTTCCAATATTTTTTTTAATGCAATTTTGTTCTTTTAATATTTAGTTATTCCATTTACAAGTAGGCGAACTGATAAAACAATGCTGAAGAAATAATGGAAACCAAAGGAATTTCTTGTGCTGAATAGTTGAAAATGGTGGGATACGAATGGATGTCCCTCAACATCTTCAACTGAAGAAAACATCGATAAAGTGAAGGCATTGGTGCTTAAAAACCATCAGTTCCCACAATTTTAGTTGATGTTTTGGATATGAAACACGTCGCAGCACGGCTAGTTCTACAAAAACTGAATTTTCTTCAACAAAATCATTGCAAACATGTTGCTGAAGACATGCTTAAAGAAGTACATTCGGAATCTTCTTTCATGCAACACATTTAATGAGTGACACAACATGGGTTTACGAATTTGACATGTAAATAAGTTTTGGAATGGCACTTTTCTAATGAGCCAAAAAAAACCACGTCAAAGTCGATCAAAAATCAAAGTCTTTGACTATTATGGTGTTGTCCGCACAGAATTCCTTTTGGATGAAGAAACAGTCTACAAAGAATATTATCTGGGCATTATGAAACATTTGAGGGAAAGTATCCGCCTCAAAGGAACATATTTATGAAAGAGCAATTCTTGTATTTTGCACCACGATAATACACCATCACACAAACCGGTATTTGTGAATGCATTTTTGACCAAAAACTGAAGGAATGTCATTGGGTAGCCACCATATTGTCTAAATTTTCCTAAATTTTCTTACCTTTTACAATAATTCTCCTCGCTTTTTATGTCAACCTCTTCCATTTTGATCACCGTTTCTTCTGCTTGCACTTCTTTTTCAATCTTAACTAATTGTTCCATCCTTTGTTCATCTCTTAGCACAATTTCAAAATTTTCGCTTTTAATGAACACGTCGCTAGATCCAAAATCTGTGATATTATTTTGTACATTGGCAATTTTCAGTTCCACGTCCGAACAGGTCTTTATAAAAGCATCATGAAGGCTGAGCGAATCAAAACATTGCCTACAAATAACGGGATCTTCGGTGATGCCAAAATTCTACAACACAAAAGAGTTTGTAAAAATACTCATTTACGTTTTTTAGCTTTAAAATGTGTGTGAAATGGATATTTACCACTTCTGGAATGTATCTATACATCATCTCTAACGTCACATCATAAAATGTTACAAATCCTTCGCTGACTAACTGCAAACATAATCGACATATTTTCTGATCATCCTCCATTTTAACTGAAGGTTTGTTCTCGTGTTCATTTAAATAAACTTCTCTTAAATCGACGAATGACACTTTGGAATTAACATAAGACAAAATCTTGTCTTCAACGTAGAGACAAGTGGACCTGAAGTGAAACGCAGAGTACATTTTAGCAGAACAAGTAGGACAAATGACATGTTCACAATTGTTGTGAAAGTCCTGAAAAATTTTTCATTGAGTAAAATACTAACAATACTAATACAAGTGTATGTGTAAATATGAACATAAAGGTGAGCTCAATTCTTTTAATGGTATGTTAAAAATTAATATGGTTTTAAATGAACTACTTACAAGATTCAGTGAAATTGTCTTTAAAATTTCCCTTGTAGATTCATCTATTACTATAAACTCTCCACTGCTCATAGTATTAATGCAAAACATGCAAAATTTCTCTTTAAAATGCTCCATTAATGTATAATTATTTTCTTTTTGATTATCTAACTAAACAATACCACAGAATATAAACACTAATTCTGTGTTAATACTTAATACAATTTATAACCTATCATTTCTGTCACACTTCTTCTTCTTACGGATCCTAGTAGCCACTAGCTGCTTTCCAATTGACTACAATATAAATGTACTTCAGAAACACCTCGCCGCCGCCGCCATTATTCTATGGCTAGAAATTGGCCTCAATGATTTGGGATCGAGGGGGATTATCCCTCTTTATCCTGCCTCATCTCGTGTAGGCCTGGACAGCCTTCGTAGGTGGGCCCCATCCGTCGTCTACCCCGACCGCAAATGCGGCCGGTGTAGGCGCTTTGTGGGACCTCCTTTTGTCCTGGCTGGGCCCCGCCGGCTAGGGCCCTTTCTTCTGGCGCTCTTCTTGCTTCGCCGGCTCGTCTGTGTAAACCCCGGGGGTAGTGTCATGTTTATGTGTGGTATGGTTGGGTAGGGTAGTGCGGCTATGCAGCCTGGGATGCGCTTTGCTAAGGTGGCCCTTAGGCTAGCGCGGGAGGG